GGCTGCTCAGCTCGGGCTGGACTCGAACCGCTGTTGCTCAGAGCTCAAACTCTTGAGCGAGCTCTTAACCAACTGAGCCACTCGGCCGGCCCTGCCCTTTTTATAACCTGAAAAAGCCAGCACCTGCTGGTTATTCGTGTGAAGCAAGAACAATTTTGTAGAAGGAAGTGAAGCAAGCACCTGCTTCTGGAAATTTTTTATAAGGAAGTCTGTTTTTGCTCATTGCAGTTAAGTCAGTTTTGTATCCAAGAGCCTCATAAATAACATCAGTCTCTTTGAACTATTGGCCTTAATATATTTATAAAAAACACAGGGATCACTGTTACTTACCACTTTGAGGCTTTATATTTTTCATATGATTTCACATCTGTCATCATCTATATGACATGTAGACAACTGAGAGGTAAACATGACTTTAATAGCTTAATTCTCTTGGAAATAGTGCGGTTATTATGAGCTATGGATATGGAACTAAAATTGGAACTAGTAAGATAAGAAAGTCAACAAAAAGTAACATGAATAAAGATGGTCATTGCTATATGAGTATATTTTTTAATAGTGAAAAACTGAAATAAATTTCCATCAATAGGAGTCTGGGTAAGTAATTTATGGTATATTTATATCATAGAAAGTGGCAAGACAGGTAAGAAGAATGATATGATATACACCCTCAAAACACATTATTGAGAGAAAAAGAAGGCAGGTTTTAGAATATGTCCAGTATAACCCCATGCGTGTGTATAAAAACAAAGCATATCTTCTGATCTGACATATGTACATTAATTCATAGGAAAAGGTCTGGAAGGAATAAAATGGTTAACAATGTTATTTCTGGGAATGAAGTAGGGTTGGTGGGACTTGGTGCAACGAGTGCTTCAATTTTTACTGTAGGCTTCTGTGTTTTGGGCATTCTGTAACAACATAGTCATGATTTCCTTTTGTAATTATAACACCCAAAATTACTGGAGAGTAAAAGATGTGTGACAAAGAGAAATTGGGGGGCAGTGTGACATTTGAGGTCATGGGAAAGAAGATGAAGCACTTCAGGGTAGAAATTTGTGCCAGTTGTTGCCATATCCTGAGATATTTTGTGAATGGTGATTTGGAGCTTGTGCAGTATTTTAAGGATGGCATAGATAGATGGATCGATGGATAGATAGATAGATAGATATAGAGATACAAGATAGATAGTTAAGTTTGCAAACTCATCCTAGAATAAGTGCTACATACCTCATTGCTGAATGTCACTATGGTCACCTTCGAAGTACTCCCCTTGGGAAGCTATGCACTGATGCCAGCACCTAGTCCACCCTTCACAGCAATTTTGGAACTCTTTTTCTGGAATGGCCATCAGAGCTGTTGTCGTATTACCCTTGATGTCCTGAATGTCATCAAAATGTCTTCTTTTCAATATTTCCTTTATCTTTGGATAAAGAAAGAAGTCATTGGGGTCCTGATCAGGTGAGTAGGGAGGATGTTCCAATACAGTTATTTGTTCACTGTAACAAATAACTGTATTTGTTACAGACAGTGGCATGTGAGCTGGTGCATTGTTGTGATGCAAGAGCCTTGAATTGTTGGCGAAAAGTTCAGGTTGTCCAACTTTTTCACGCAGCCTTTTCAGCACTTCCAAATGGTAAACTTGGTTAACTGTTCATCCAGTTGGTACTAATTCATAATGAATAATCCCTCTAATAACAAAAAAGGTTAGCAACATCATTACAACAAGTTCGCGAACTTGATTGTCAGACCGCATAGATATCTATCATCTATCTATCTATCTATCTATCTATCTATCTATCTATCTATCTGTATCACTCCAGAAGGTATGACCTAGAGTAGAAGGCCCCCCAAATCAAGAAAATCCAAGGATTTTTCATAGAATTTTCCCATGTACCTTCTTTTGGTCTATTCGTAAGCATCATATTTTTACAAAACATAGATTTCTATCCCTATGTGAATAATTCTGCCACAGTAATAGGGCAGTTGTATCTCCCACAGAAGTTGTTTCTCTAGCTCATGACTTTATTTCTACTTTTTTGAATTTTTTCATTTTGTCCATAACTTTTATTGAGCCCCTGTATACAAACAGCTGTGTGACCTGGCAGAGAACAGACAAGGCCCCTGCTCTCATAGAGCTTATAGTCAGGGGGATGGAGGGGGATGACAGTATGAAGCTACAAAAATATCAGAAAGTGAGCAGTGCTATGATGAAAATTAAGCAAGGTGATGTGATAGGGAGTAACTGGGGAATTACTTTAAGAGAGGAAGTTAAGAAAGATTTCTTGAGGAAGTAATTCATAAACCAAGGCACATAACAAGACAGGAAGGAGCCAGATGTGTGATCATTTGGAGAAAGCATTCTAGGCAGAAGAACTAGAACAGCACTGTTAGGGTGTGCGAAAGCTTGTAGGGCTCAAAAACATATGCACGGTTGGGACAAAGATAAGTGAGAGAGGTCTGCAGAACAGGAGCATGTCATGCCGTAAGGACGAGGTAAGAACTTTGGATTTTACTCCAGATTTGATGGGAAGCTATTGGGGATGGGAGGGGGGCAGTTGATTAGGGGAATCTGATTTAGGTTTATAAAAGATCTCTCTGAATACCTCTTGATTATAAATAGACAAGAATGAAAGCAGAGAGACCCATGGAGTTGGCGGGAGGTCTAGGTGGGAGAAGATGGTGACTTAGACTAGAATGGTAGCTATAGATATAAACTTGCTATTGGGACAAAGACAGGGAAAGAGAGGATCAGAGATGACTCATATTTTGTAGCCTCAACTACTGGAGGGTACGTTTCCTGAGATGAGGAAAATCAGGGAGGAGCAAGTTTGGGGGAAATCAGTGTCTGTTTTGGATGGATCAGGTTACGATGTCCACTGGACAGATGTCAAAGAGGCAGTAAGATATGCTAGCCTGGAGTTCCAGAGGAGGCCAGGAATAGAGAGTCACGTGAGAGCCATCTACATACATAACGATGGTATTATTGAAAGCCCTGGAATTGACTCCAAACGTACACTCACCCCATACCTGTGTACTCCACCCTTCATGTAGGCTAAACTTGCCTAAGCAGACCACTTCTGTCTCTAGGCCTTCCCCTTGCTGACCTTGCTTTTGTTGTTAATGGTTGCTCTGAGCTTTACAATGTGAAGGTCAGTGGGAGAACAGTAGGAGGACACATGTGTTGGGCCTTTAGTTACAGTGATGAGAGCACTGTTCATTTGTGTAGCTCTTGACACTTTAATCATGACCTTATTTACTAAAGTTATACTAAAGTTAATAACTGAGCTTAGAGTGAGCGCACCATTTTTAAAATAAACTCTAGATTCATACTACGTTCTTTAGGTTTTATATGCTAATTATAAATTTATATTGCTATTATATAAATATTATAAGCTAATGTAAGTTACACGAAACAAACTTTTTATTGCTAGTGATTATCCTCAGTCTCACATGCCATGGTCTACTTTGTTGAGTTACAAATAAACTAAATAAAAATAAGAAACTGAAAATACGTCTCTACTTCCAGTTGATATTCCCATTTAATTTCATTGGAATAATGCATAGATGGTTTACATTTTATCTGTTTCATTGGCAGTATTCTTACACAACTTGATCCTGTAATAAAAATAATCTTCAATTATGTTTATGCTTTGAAAACCCTTTCCTACCCCAATGTCATGCCCCCTATATTTGTTGCCATGGCCGATTTATTTATTGACATAAAATCCAAGTGGATTTACTGTGTTGTTTAGGCGAAATACAGACTTTTATTTTTTTTGGTTTTTACCTCTTCAAAGGAATTTGGAGTTAAAAATATGATTGAGCCCTTATTTATCTCGAATAATTCTTGTTCACTGCAGATAAGCTCTCCTGTCCCCCAGCCAGCCACATGGTGAATTCAAGGCTCTGATCCAGTAATACAACGGAAGTCACATCAGCCTGGAGCCAGGGAACATGGTGTCACAGTCTTCTGGCCAGCAGAATTCTCCTGTGGACCCCAGGGAAAGAGTCCGCAATGACGGTGACAACATTGATGGTTTGCCCAGCCTCCTGGACTCTGACCACCCCTCTTGTCAATCAGACATCAGGGTAATGAGACACAAAGCTGCCTGGATTAACCCCCTGTGTGTGCATCAACAGCTGCAGGATTTGCCCCTTCAGGCGCCAACAATGGGGAACAGTGGCAGCCACTTTATGGGGGATGACGCCTCTTCCTTGGGCCCTGCACCATCGTCTGTGGAGGACTCCATGACAGAGACAATATTGTTGAAGCCCACTGTGGGTTTCATGGGCAACTCAGGTAAAAAGAGCAGTGCCTTTCCTTTGACCTCAATGCAAGAGCAGGCAGTGCTCCCAGGACGCTGTCCTCAAATGTTTCCATTCACAAGCTCCAGGACTGTGGCTGCTTCCACACGCTCGAAGGCTAACAGTGCTTGTGTCATGTCTTCCCACCTGACAGCATCCATTGGTAAAGGTAACTTTCGTCGGGGGCTTCCCTCATTCCTGTCTGTTCACACACTTGCTTTGTCATGGTCTAAAGGTCTAAAGCGTGTCTTACTGTCTTCTTTGTGAGAAAAAAAAGTTCATGGCTCTCCACTTGGACCAGAAGCCAGTGTGTTTAATATTGTCTTTGGCCTAGCCACCTGGACCGTCACTGCTGGTGAAATGAAATATTTCCTTTCTCCGTAGACTGCAGGGAAATGTCATCGTAGCTCAACTTAGTGGATAATGCCACCCGCCATCTTTTTTTTTTTTTTTTTTTTAGCTGAGCCATCCTGCTACCTGTTGGCAGCTCAGCGGCTGCTCAGCTCGGGCTGGACTCGAACCGCTGTTGCTCAGAGCTCAAACTCTTGAGCGAGCTCTTAACCAACTGAGCCACTTGGCGGGCCCTTCCACCCGCCATCTTTGAGGTGGTGTGAGCCTTCAGGAACTTCCAGCTCATTGTCTGCAAGGGGAACACTGGAAGTTCTGTCAATTCTGTGTGCTGCTGGAAGGGGCTTCCAGAAGAGTGGGCCCGCCATTGCACACCAGTGCTTACTAGGAGATAAACTCTCCTCACCTGTTATGTTTACCTGGACAGAGTGTGACTAGAAAACAGTAAGATTTAAAAACAGTAACCACAATTCCCCAAATGCTATATGATACCTTTTTAAAAATTAAAACAAGGGCTCCCCTATCTACATGCTAGATACATCTATTCCTAAACTGAAATTCTTAAAAGGAGACAGTCCATGCCAAATGCCAGTCAAGAGTCAATAAATTAGCTATTGCTGTTATAATCTGTAGCATGCTTATTTTATTTGTAAATATTAATTGTGGTATATTCTTGCTTTGAGCTCATTATATTTCTGATAGAACGCTAGCTCAAATAGTCAATGAAGTATTTTCTTTCAAAACAGTTTAAAAAGTTGCCTGCCTGCCTATGTGTGTATGTATATATATATATATATATATATATTTATCTCTCACTAGCAGGAACCAGTCTTCTCCCTTTCCTAAAATATGGGGTTTATGTGTTCTATTGGAAACTTTGAAAAGTCAAAGATGATGACAATCTTTAACATATTATTCATTGCTTAAGAATAGCAGATTTGGGGCAGTCTTTCCATGGACCGATTTTGAGATAAGAATCAAATTTGAGCAAAAAGAAACATTGATTATAGGCCTTCTTTCTATTGTTTTGCTCATCTGCCTGGATAGTTCCCAGGGAAAAAGTAACTTGGAAACTTAGTGGTTGCTAAGTAAGAGATTCTACTAGATTGTCCCACAGGAGAGAGTGGGAGAACATGAAGAAAAAGGCAAGCCCTTTGCCCCGCAAACCACCATCACAACATTATTGTACGTGATGGAAGATGCTGTTTAGGAGCCTAGTATATCCCTGCCCCAAATCAGTTGTGTCACTGCACAGGAAGTGGTTCTGCAATTTAAAATTATCCTGTAGCTTTATCTTTCTCCCAGATAGAAAACAGGTACCTCGGCCCCTCTGTCTTTGGACAGTGACCCCAACAATCTCAGTACCTTTGAAAATGACTCAGTCTTTTGGAAATATCTCTTAAACCTGGTAAGGGGATTCATTCCATGGTATTAAAAAAAAAAAAGCAATCCCCAGTGATCTAGTTCTTTCTTTCTTGGGGGTGGGGTAGCAATGGGGAGGACAGGCATTTGCCCTGAGGACATGGGGTTTTTCTGTGACTGCTGCATCTCAAGTGGCAACAGCAGGGTTTTTTTCTAAATAAGAGGGTGGGAGGGTAAGCATTTCCAGAGGCAGTCAGAAACAACGCCACTGTTCCTTTATTTGCATATGATCTACACATTTACAACTCACTTTCATTTTCCTTACCTCCTTTAATCTCCTAATAGATGGTTATCCCAATTTAAGGGATGAGGGAATTTTGATATGAAAGCACAGCTGGTGCATTGAGAGCTGGAACTGGAATCCACACCGTCCAGTTCTCTGTGCTTTTCCCCCCTATACTCAGGGTCCAAAAGCCAAGACCTTCAGGCTACATCCGGCCAGCCTCCTGGTTTTACAAATAATGTTTTGTTCTGTCTATAGTTGCTTTCTCACTACAGTGGCAGACCTGAGTAGTTGGGCCACATGCTGTATGGACCTCAGATCCTCCCATAGTTACTACCTAGTAGTCTTTTTCAGACAAAGTTTGCCCACCCCAGATGGCTTCTGAAGCTAAGAAGCCCAAAGTTTTCTGTGGAACAAACACTCTTGAAGATAAGGCAAGAGATTTGAGTGATCCTGCTTGCTTGTCTCTCTGTTTGTTGCCCGGAGAGCTGTATAATTACCAAGACATCTGTAGCATTTTATTCTAATTTAGCAGGCTGGGACAACCCAGCTCTTAGGACTCTCAGAAATGTTTTGCCTTAAATGCAAATAAAAAATCACATGACAGAAATCATTTGTGGTTTGCTGGCGTTCACTGCCAGTAATGTAGTGGCTTAGGGTGCAGAGTGGATGAGTCAGCCGAATATGCCCTCTGCAGTTTTTTCTTGCTTTTGATTGGAGGAAGACAATTTTAGACAAGCAATGCTGACACTTTTCAGATACTTTGTTTCTGCAAACAGGAAGTTGGGTCAATTGCAGTGAGTTGGAGAAGTGATTCCGTAATTCTTATGGCCCTGCTTCTAGACTGTTCTTTCTTACCTTTCTCTATCTCCTTTAGGGAGTTTCTATTGACCATCTTCTCTTTCTCCCATCTTGGCCACATTGGTCCTCCTCCGTTGCAGTGGTTCTTCCTTGTTACTCCAATAGCCTCTCTTGTAGAAATGATCACCATTAAGGCACTATCTGTAAGTCCTGCCACCAGAAGGGTCATTTTTCCTTTGTCGTCCTAATTTATTCTAGAATTGTGCAAAATTTTAAAATAACAATATTTAAAAGCCACTCCCTAGAATTGTTTCATTTTCTTAAATAATTTTTGGACCTCTTTTTTTTCCATTTAATAATAAATTGCTGTATTGGCAGGTGCTGCTAAAGTCAGTAGAAGAAGCATTTCTTTGAATTCCTTCTCACCAGAAGCATTTGTGCTCCCCATTGATGTAGAAAAGGTGACTATCTTTTTCTTTTTCTTTTTTGAACGCCAGAGAGCGTTAATCCCTTAGATAGTGCTGTTCCGATTTAAATCTGAAATTTTCACCTGATGAGTCATGGCAAATAGGTTTCATTTCAGCATTTGATTGTTAGAGGCCCCCAGGAACCCCAAGCTGAGAAGGGCTCTGAGGTAGTTTCTGTGCTCAGCTAGAAAGTCTGCCATGACTGATGAATGATGTCAACCATTGGGCCCCCACCAACCTAGGTTTTTATATCACAAGAAATTTAAGTTGGGTGGTCTGTTGATTACAGTGGGCTAAATCGTATGTCTCTGGAAGATATGGGCTATACTTCATATAATGGCCTATGGTAATTCAGTTGAATGAACATTTATATTTCTGTGCATTAACTCCGCTTAAATATAGCCTCTTGATTTTTAAATCTAATGCACCTCAATGAAAAACAAAATTGATTATGCCTGTATTTTAACAAGCATATTCAATTTTTTTTTTGCAGGAAAACGCCCACTTTTATGCTGCTGATTTGATGATATCAGCAATGGAGAAAATAAAGTGTGACATCCTGAGTCAACAACAGCACATGGAGAACTGGAGTACAGAAGAAGCTGGTGGGTCACTTGGAAATGATCAAGCTGACTCTGAAGGGACTTTTTATACCAACATAAAGCAAGAGTCTGGGTCTTCTACTTCCTCAGACAGTGGCTATGAAGGCAAGTGGGGTAAATATGAGAAGGCTTGATTCTGGATTCTCCGTATACATCTATCTCCTCTGTACATCCAGAAGTACATCTTTGAATCCTTTGTCTAAAACTTCTTGAGTAACCTGTGTCGTCCTCACCATTGCTGCCCGGTGGGCTTGGGATCAGTGAGCATGCTTCATTCGGTGGTTAAATTGATGTGTTTTGTTTTGTTTTCTTGGACTTCCTCTTACTTTGCCTTATAGCAGTGGCTGGACTTTTTCTCTTCCTTTGTTTTCTGTCACATAGCATTCTCCTAGCTCTTCTTCCTTTTCCAATAGTCCTCTTCATTCATTCCACAAACAAGGTGCCTGTGAGGTGCTGAGAATCGACAGGTGACAGGATATGCTCCTTGCCTTCCAGGAGCCCTCAGCTGAGAGACTGTGTGGGATTATTGGGGTAACAGAGGCAGGGACCCAGCGCAGTGGAGCATAGAGTAAGAGCATCTCACCTCCTTTTGGGACCCAAGGAGTCCTTCCTGGAGAGGAGGGTACCTAAGCTGAGAACCAAAATTAGGGCTTGTCATCGTACCACTTCCTAAATGGGAGTCGGAGTCCTGCTTCAGTCCTAGATGCTGGCTTTTTACATTTCACTTCCATTCACTTTTCCTGCAACATTTTTTCATTATTCCCGCTCTGTTGACATCTCTTAAATCTGTGTTTTCAGTCCCACACCTCTCTTCTAAATGCTTGAGATCTGTGGAACATGTCCACCTGAATGGCCCCCCAGAATCTCTAACTCAACATGTCTAAACTAGTCATCTCTCTGTTACTCCCTCACAAACCCCTTTTGCCCCCACCCCTCAAAAAAAAAAAAGATTAAAAACTAACGCTTGCTTTTCCTTTTGATTTCCTTTACCTGGCTTCTTAGTCAGGACCCTTTCAGTCAGGAGGGAAGAACTCACTCCATGCGGTACATATGTAGCACAATGCTGCCTCGAAACAGGTGTACCATAAATAGTTGTGGAATGCACTATCTGGCTCAAATTAAAAGGAACTTTTTTTGAAGCATCTGCTTCTCAGTAATAGTGACACCCACTTGGTCCGTTCCCTATCCCTGCGTTGTGCCTGGACCACCGCAGCAGCCTTCTGTACGCACTGCATTTGGGTCCTCCATCCGTGTCTGCTGCCTTCAATTTTCTCTTTGCTTCCAGCCTTTTCCCCCTCATTGATCCTACACACAGCTGTGTTTCTAGAACACAATGTCTAGTCCTCCAAGGTGGCCTGCTGAGTTTGTTCCACATTTTATTCTGTGATTTTTAGCCTTGTGGGATGCAGCTTCTCCCTCCTTCCCCGCAGGCGTCCCCTGCCGTTTCCCAGAGCTGTACCGCGGGCTACAGTTAGACTAGGCTGTTCTACTTGCTGGCAGACATTTCTCATAACCTCCTGCCTCCCTCCCTTTACTTCAGCTAGGCTCTCCTGGGACACACATTAGTTCCTTCATCCTTCCCATTCTTCAAAAGCAGTCTCCTGCCACCAGCACTGTGACATGCTCCCTGACTTGTATCACAGGGCAGGGGTCCCATTTGTGTGGAATGGAACGTAAGCTGTGTTCCAGAATGTTCTGTAGTTGTCTATGTGCATGGCTTCCCCCCGAGCCACCCCGGAGTTGTGCAGTGCGGAGTTGTGCACTGAATTTCTTACGGCCCATGGCACACAGCTGTTTTCTTGTTGTCAAGCACATCAGTATCTCAGACCCTCATGAGATTTTAAATCCTTTGATAGATGAGAATTTGTCTTGTCTGTATTTGCATTCAGCATAGTGCCTTGTCTGAAATAGGTATTTTATAAATATTTGTTGAATGAATACTAATGTTTAGCTGAAGTTTTTTTTTTATTTAAAAATGAATGTTTAAAGAAATTTTAAAATATTCCTACCACCCAAGTAAAACATTTATTTTTTATGAAGTATCACTCTTGTGACATTTATGGTGATAGATGCTACCCCATGAGGTAGGTCAGTGTTCTTCATATTGCAGGTTGGTCATGAGAGCATTTTAAAAAAGAAGAAGAGGAGGAGGGGGAGGAGGGGGAGAAGAAAAGCAAGTATCAGTGTATACCTCACTTAGAGTAAACAATGCTTCCTGCCTGGAACTTCTTTAACAGCTAAATATATATTTGTGTTTATACTAAGTTGCAATGTAAGCTATATGTTACTGTGGCTCATAATAATCAGGAGTGTGAGAAACATAGAGGAAGGTGAAATTTCCCGCATTTTATCCATGAGGAAACCGAAGCTGAGAAGTTGCTTGTGGTCACCTGGCTAGGATGGGGCAGTGGGGTGTTAAAGCGGCCACTCCACTGCCAAGCCATTCTTTCACAGAACCTCTGATAACCTACAGGCTAGAATATCTCCCTAAACAAATGTATTCATTTCTATGTTTATTCAAGTGAATACAGTTTCATCATAATTATATACTCATGTTAATGTAATTACAACAATAATGTGATTATATTAACAGTGTTTCATATCCAGTTCTTCATGTTGTTATGGCTTTCACATTTTTCAATGATGGTATATCTTGATTTAACAGAGTGATTTACAAAATCAGTTCCCTATTATTTGGCATTTAAGTAGCTTTCAAGATTTTAATGTTGTAAATGGACTGCAAATAGCTCCTTAATGATCAAAGCCTTCCTCTTTCATCATTTTTTTCTTTTTAATAACATTCTGAGGATAATTCCCCAGAATGGTCTTAGAGATGGGAAAGTATGAACATATTTGTATTAGTTTCCTAGGGCTGCTGTAACAAAATGCCACAAACTGAGTGGCTTAAAACCATAGAAATTTATCCTCGCACAGTTGTGGCGGGCGGAAGTCAGAAATGAAGTTGTGGGGTGGGCTGGCTCCTTCTGGAGGCTCTGAGGGAGAATCTGCTCCAGGCCTCTTCCCAGCTTTTGGTGGCTGCCCACAATCCTCGGCGTTCCTTGGCTTGTAGACGCATCCACTCCAGTCTGCCTCCATCTTCACATGGCGTTGTGTCTATCTATCTGTGTCTGTGTCCAAATTGCCCTCTTTTTATGACACTAGTCATTGGATTTAGGGCTCACCCTAAATGACTGCATCTGCAAAGACCCGATTTCCAAATAAGGTCACATTCACAGTATCTGGGTAGAC